GTTCTCTAAGATACTTGTATAACGTTACCACCTAGCGATATCCACACAAGGGTAATCCATTGACTAATCCATTTCTTGACGGCCATGTCACTGCGAAATGAATCATTCGCAGCTAATTGGGAATCAACTGAAACGATTGACTTCCTGGGTGCATGAACTCATCCGCTGCATTGTGGTCCATGCTGAGAGGCGCAATACGTCAGAAGTCTTCACTATGATTTGCGAGGATATATCAAACTGCGTCCTACACCGAGATAAAGAACGGATAGCGACGGACCAAAGCCATCTCCCTCGGCGATGCACTACACCAGAATAAAGATAACTGCACAATGACAATTTTCACTCGAGACTGAATCCCTATTACAAATAAGCACTTCCGTCGGCCACGAGTTACGCCGTCTTTAGTCACTGATCCCACCGGTTCACCGCTAAATATTTTCCGCTCTTATCATTGTACCCCCCGATCTGCACTCTTATCCAGGGCCACAGGCGAGGTAATCAAGTCTGGAGGAAAGACTACGGATAAGAAATATCAGAACCCAAAGAAGACAACTACAAATAAATAGCACATCAGTCATGATCTCAAGATGACGAGACGAAGAGCATCAAAATCAAATCAGGCAGTCGACATGGCAACCAAAACTGTTTTTATCACTGGTGCAAACGGCTACATTGGCAATGCCGTTGCCCGCTGCTTTGTGGCCGCCGGATGGACCACCTATGGTCTTGTTAGGTCTCTTTCAGCGGCGACAACTCTAGCTCAAGAGGAGATTATTCCCATTATTGGAGCCATCGATGACCTCGACGCGCACGCCAACATCCAGAGTCATCTCCCAGCAAAGCTCGATGCCATTATTTCAACCACGGAGAACACAATGGACTACATCCCACACTATAAGAACATTATCAAGTTGCTCCGTACCCTTGGAGCCGCAAGCTTGTCGGCCGGCACAAAGTCAATCGTCATCTTCACTTCCGGATGTAAGGACTACGGCGTCGGCCCGCACTTTGACGGAGCCCCGGATCTGGCTCCACACACGGAGGAGTCACCCATCGGGACAATCCCCCTGCTCACCAACCGAGCCACGTACGCACAGAAAATCGTTGAACACGGCGACGTTTTCACTCCAGTCCTCGTTCGACCTACCAATGTCTACGGACGTGCCTCTAGCTACTACCAAGCCTTCTTCAATGTCGCTTCCAGAGCGGCCGCCGAGGGGAAGCCCCTCGTCTTGACCGCTCCGCCCAGCACAATCCTGCATGCTCTTCATGTCGACGACTGCGGAGACGCCTATGTTGCTATCGCCTCTCACACAGACGTAGCCGGGATTGACGGCCAAGCGTTTAACATCTCGGCCCAAAGCTACGAGACGCTTGACAAGGTTGCGCAGGCACTGGTTAAGGAGTACCACATTAAGGATGAACTCAAGTACATTGATGAGGCGGATGCGAAAGAAGGAGAGATGTGGCCGCCGGGAATCATCAACTTTCCCCAGTGGACAGACTCCACAAAGTTGACTAAGCTGACTGGATGGAAGCATCGTCGTCCTTTATTTGCCGAGTCTATCCATGTCTATCGCCTGGCATTTGAGGCTACAAAGGCGGCCGGGCACGAGAATATCAAGAAGGTCGATGGCCTCTTGGAGGCTTGGACTAAGAACAAGGCAATACTGAATTTGGATTCGAAGAAGATGGGCTAAGGAGGGAAGGTAAACTCCATAATGACCTCATGTTAACCTTCTTGGCCGTAAAGATGGAATTTCCACTCACTAGTTCAAGTTCTCAGTTGTAGGCTGATGAATCTCAAACGCAATCAGAGAGCTCAGATACCTGAATGAAAACCTTTTATTCGACTTCTTTGATAATCTTAAAGTCGGAAGAAAGCCTATCTGCCTAAATGCTTATTAGTTGAAATGCACCTCATATTACTAAACAGACGTGGGAGGTGTTATCGTGATGGAGAACGTAGGACTACTGTAAAAAGGGCCACACTAGGTGAATCTGTCAGTTGTCTAGTGATCTTGGTGTGTAGGAACACCAGCTCACAATGACTTCCAGATTCACAAAATTCATACTCAAGGGCCACCATTTTCAAGTATAAACCAACGTATAGAGTGAAATTGCTCGTCGCGAGTAAGGTCAAGATGAGTGCAGTCATTCTGAACACTGTTATAACTCTGAACGAAGCTACAGCCATGGCGCCCTGTCGTTGAGCCCATGGATCCAGCTTGTTGTCATGAATTGTATGTTTCATACTCTCCGCTCGCGAATGTAATTTGTAAGCATTTTCTGGGCTCCGGTGACAAAGCAGTCCGAAATCTACCAAATATGAACATATGAAAATGAACAAAACTTTTCTTCTCTCTCACATACTTACGTGGGCAGCTTATGCGGGGCGGTTCTCCCCACGTTTGTTTGCACTTAAGGACGGATGCTCATGTTCCGACGGGATTGCCTCCACTCTCTTTCTTCATTATCAAAGAATCAGAAGATATTCATCGCACATAATCAGGTATTAGGATGAAATAAGATGCGGCATGGCTGAATGTGTCTGACGATAGGCGCAAAAGTATGAACTCAACGTCACAGTTTGACCAAATGCAGAAGAAGCTCCACCCCCACTGCCCGGACACGCGACACTTTCTGCTTCGCGTGCCAAGCACTTCCTCGACTTGTATGCGGCTCTCGTAAAGCCCCAACCGCGCTTCTTGTCTGGAGGGCGCGGCATGCGCATCTCACTTTATCCTAGAAATGATGTAATGCATGCATTAGTAATCTCAGATTCGAAAACTAATACGGATAGAGCAGCGTCATCGCGAAGAGCTATCGGCGATACGGCATGAAGCAACATCTCAGCCGACTCTGAATAAAGTGACCCTGAAAACTGATGTTGGTAGTGTTTCGATATATTGCTCATCGTTGGTAGTTGTCGCGTTCCTGCTATAGACAGTCGCCTTGATGTCGCCGTCTACCAAGGCATAGAAGCTGTGTGTTCTGCGGCAGACGATGCGGACGGGGTCTGCGGGCTCACGTTGGAGATCGGATCGTACCGGAATCAAAATGCCTGATCCAAGCTATGGCGGAGTCCGGCAGCTTACAAACCACGTGTCTCATGAAGTCGTGACTCGTCACTGGTTCACATTACCCTTTCACGTTGGGCCGGCCGTCGGAGACAATCCTCATGCGCTAGGGCTGAGGCCCGGACAATCTATGGGAAAATCATGGTGCCCAGGGGTCTCCTCGTCGGCGAAAAGCATGGACAGTGGCCTCGAGGAAACAAAGGCCGAGCGACGAAAAATCCGAGTCTCAACTCGCTCAACTAAGTCCGACAGGTCCAAGTTGACTTGGCAAGTCAGGGCAGGTGGGGCTGTTGCGATGGCGCAAGAGTTCTCAAAGGTGAGATGGCAGCTCTGTTGTATCCGTATACTCGTATTTGAATCATCAGCGCAAAGCCTCTCTTGGCTATGGACAAGCCGTCGCATCTCGGAGGTGAGGACGTAATCTCGACGCGGCTTCGTGGCTGCGACAGGCTACAGAACTGAGCGTGTGAAAGAGCAGAAGAAACTGATACGGCTTCAGTGTCGATCGTTCAAAGTGATCTGCTTGGGGTCCCGTCAATATTTTCAACTTTCGATAAGGGGGCCCGCGGGCATTTCAATACGGCCGAAGCGCGCGCGCTCTTCAGGATAACACCGAGTAAAAGGGTTTTCGTCTCATCTTGTCTTCGTTTCGTCCGGCGTTGTGACCTGACTAAGCGGGACAGTGAGGCCTTTTGGCGCGCTGCCGACGCTTACTGCCGAACCATTGACCTGTCTTGGACGGTGGAGGATGTCAAAGGCCTGTCACTTACACACTGACAAGCCATGACAAGCCGTCGCAAAGTCCAATAGTGGAGAAACAACCTTGAGAACTCTTAGGGTATCCGTCACAGAAAAGTCCGAAGGGAGCGTAGAAAAGGCTCTGCCAACGGTGAATGGGGTGACCTGAAGGCGAGATGAAACCTGGGAAGCTACCGAATGGCGCCCCCTAACGGCTCCATGCGCCCACTCCGGCCCCACTGACATCTCAACTCGGAAACACAGACTTACGCCATCCCATGATCCTCGGTGGGGAGAACAGACGGCGACGATCCAATCGACATGATCTCCCGCTAGATCGTCACCCTCCCTGTGAGGCTCTGACTTCCCAAAGAGGTATCGTCTTATAGAGCCTCAAACCATCACGGAACATCATCAGACAGCTTGGCAGCACGAGCCTCAGCGATGTCCAGCATCGCCAGTTGGAGGAAAAGTCTGGTTGCGCAGTTCAACGTCTTGGAGTGTCTTGAACCTTCGCATTCCGCCCCCCACCTCCACTATCTCTCGGCACTTCATCATTAGTAAAGCCCCCTAAAGCCCCGGACAAGAGCTTCTCGTGTCTTGGCTTCGCGGGTATTCCGATGGCAAATATGTACTACAGCCGGTGCTAATCTAATTCAAAATTTAGACTTACTCGAACTCTAAGTTCTGTCTCCATTTCCATTCCTTCCTCTTTTCCTTCAAGTTTCTTTCAGTCAAATTTCCTCCTAGTGAGGTTTCGCCGTGATTTCTGTCGAGACCGGCATTTCCAGTCATTTACGCATTTTAATCAACAGGGAAAAGTCACTGCTGAGCAGTGATCGCTTCATTCATTTCAAAAATTCTACTTTCGATACCTCTCTTTCACAGCCCAGTATGAGGGTTACTTCGGCTTGGGCCCTTATGGCAGCCGCCACGGTCACTGCGATGCCTCATCCAGTCTCCAAGAGAGACCCTTTCCCAGCTGATGGTACTGTTGTGGGAGGTGTTCCCCATCGCCCATTCAGAAGTGAGTTTTCCACACCTATCAGACCCCAGTTTCCACACTCTGATCACACAAGCACAGTCCGAAGACAAGCCGCCGCACCAGCGACCCCTCAAGGCAATCAACTCATCCCGGTGGTGGTTGGAGGAGCGCAGGATACATTCGTCCCGAACTTGATCATGGCTCAGGTTGGCGACGTTGTTCAGTTCCAGTTCAGCAATGGCAACCATACCGTGACGCAGAGTGCCGAAGGGGCCGCATGCCAACCCCTTCAAGCTCAGGTTCCGACGGCTATTCACAGCGGGCATGTGCCCTTCAAGGACGGGCAAGCTATGGTTGGAACATTCAACATGCCGATTACGAGTGCCGACCCGATGTTCCTTTACTGCGCCACTGGACCTCATTGTCAAGAGGGACAGGTCCTGGTCATCAACCCGTACGTTGCAGAGACAAATTGAATGTTTGACTGTTTGCTAACAAAAGTAAACAGCACCAATGCGAACCAAGTCGTCCAATACTCAAAGTTAGCCGCTGCCGCGAAAGCAAACGTCGACGGAACCACAGTGAGCGGCGGTGCCGTTGGACAAATTCCCCTCGCAAATGCCGCCTTTGTCCCAGCACCGGCTCAGGGAGCTGGCGGCGGTGGTCCTCCGGGAGGTGGTGCTGGCGGTGCTCCCGCTGCAGCCCCGGCGGCTCCGGCGGCTCCGGCTGCACCAGCAGCGACACCGGCAACACCGGCAAACCCGGCTCAGGATCCTGCGGCAGCACCTCCGGCCGAAGCGCCGGCTGCTCCTCCGGCTGAAGCTCCAGCAGCTCCCCCAGCTTAACTAGTGTGTGATTTGCGGCCGAACTCAGGAAGTTTGGGGCCCGCGACAAGCAAGCTACATCAAGTTGAGCTAGCGTAGACAACTTTGAGCTACGCGCTCGAAAGAATGGGTGTTGGTGTGTAGAAGTCGCAATTTATCGATGGAGGGAGGAGTAATCCATATGTATGTAATAACAGTCTTGTACATGCTATTGCCGTCCGCGGCGGGGGTTTAACGTTGATCGATGTTGGTTCACAGTTGTATGGCAAACTCAGGACGGGCGCTGTGTTTCTGAGTTCGAAAAGAAAAACAAATACCAAAGCGAATCAAAGAAGCTAGATGCTTGAAGAATTCCGCCATTTGAAAGCCGCTTCGGGGTTGATTGTTGGATTACCATGGCATTCACGATGCCCTATTTTACTTCCTAGCTGAATATCCAACCAGAAAGTCAATCGTCATAACCTCATCCCATCACCGACCTTCAGATTCGAACTCATGGCTCCACGACAACCTTCAATCCACTGACACCCTTGAACAGCACATCTACGGCCTTGTTCAGCCCGTCCAATCCGCCATCAATCTTCTTAGATGGCAAACCGACAATCTTGTTTGCAGCGATGGCCTGAGCGAAGTAGGTCTCAAACGACCACTTCAAAAGATCGGCATTCTTCTCTTCTGCAAGTGGTGCCGACCAAGAACCGAAACTGACGGTGACATCTTTGGGAACACTCTCCGGGTCAGTGGGAGGTAACAAAGCGTATACTTTGCCCCCTCCCTGTGCAGCCAGAACTGCAGTGGTGATGGCAAATGTGGGCTTCAATGAGATGGAGTCCACTACATATTCGTAAGGCCCTTGAGCAATGAGTTCTTTAATGACAGCGTCTTGTGATTGAGTGTGGTCAACGACGTGAACGGCACCCAACTTGGCTACGAGGTCCTTGTGCTGTGGGGATGTGGTGGTGACGGCATCGTATCCAGACTGAGACACATATTGTGTTGCAAAACTGCCAAAGCTAGATGTGCCGCCGTAAATCAAAATCTTCTTGCCCTTGGAGGGTAGCTTGTGAGTCGGATCGGGCCTGTCGAGGGCTAAGTGCTCGTTGAAAAGGCCAACAATGGTACTGAAGTTGCCTAGCAGACCGACCGGGGTGTGAAGGTCGACGCTGCTTGGCACTTTGATCGCAGTGACATCTCGTGATACAACTTGCTTTTGGAAGGCGCTGTACTTGTTACCGTTTGCACCACCTGTCTTGACAGCAGCTACTTTGTCGCCGACCTTGAAGTTGGTGACTTCGGAGCCGACGGCCGCTACGGTGCCTCCATAAGATGAGCCGTGGATGGCGGGGTACGGGATGGGGAAGATGGCGAGCTTGGCGATTTTGGCGTCAATGGGGTTGAGGGCGACTAGTTCGTTCTTAATGAGGATTTCGTGGGGGCCAGGCTGCTCAGTGGTCACATCTTGCACTGTGAGCGGGGCTTTGGGTTCGAGTTGGATCGCGGCGGAGTGTGACATTGTGGAAATCGGACGGTTGTGGATGCTCGTGATGTTGGAGGTATGGCCAATAGCAGTGCTGTAAATTGCGTGAGCTTGTTGATTTAGTATGGTAGTTTGTGTGTACCGGTGGTAAGATCTGATATGTTAATGGGACTGCTTTGCTCCGACTGAGTGAGATATGTGATGGTCTTAAGTATCTCTGCTTCGACTGGGATTCAGACCATCTCGGGGAGATTGATCCTGCACCTAAACACTATTATTCCGAGCGATTGCTAAGCGCACCCAGCAGTCGAACGCAATTGAAGGCGCCATCTGCGACATCTTTCACGATGGATATTGATTGCTAAGCTTGAAAGGGTAAATCCCCACCACCGGGACACCCGGAGCTGGCGTAGCCTTTCGGTGTTACCAAAGCGGAAACAAATACCGAGTGTAGATTTAAATGCCGCCTACCTACTTACCAACGTACATACATGATGAAGAGGTGGATTACGTGCTGCAGTACCATTTCGTGTTTGTCACACATAATTGAGTGCCTGTTGCCGCGTGCATAGACCCCGCATTGTGCGGCAGCTTTGGGCTCTCATTTCGCACAAGACTGAGTTCGTCCTTACAGTGTAAGCTCAGCTCAAATGCACCATCGACCACCTGTCCGACGAATGCCATTGAAATGATAGCGAACACTTCGGCCAAAATCACATCATCTGTAACTCAGGTTTCTAAGTGCGATATCATGAGATTGGTCTGAAAATCGGACTGCGAGGCCGAACTTTATTCGAATCGCATATCATCCATTTGGTGACATGGACCAAGAGTTCTCATACTCAAAAATGACTGTTGCCAATAGCTCCGTAAGCGGATTGCTTTTGTGGAAGCTTTGGAACGCTTCCCGTAGCAAATTAGGTCGAACAAGTCAGGATTGGATAAGATTAATGCTTGGCATAAAGATGACTGTTGAACGTGGTCACTGTTGTTACCTATGATTTCCACATTTAGTTGGTAAAGATAGTTGACACTTTTGTCACATGGCTAGTCAGAACTAGATATCGTTGTGTCGTAAAAAGTCCTCGAGAGATGTAGCTCGAACATTCAACTTATCGTTGTCGACTTTCGCCATATCCCATGTGCCGTTGTTTGTATGGAGTTGGTAAAAGTACGACATGTACTGGAAGAATTGTCTCGGTGTAGCTGCCTTTCGTGCCTCGAATGCAAGAGTTTTAAGGTCTTCATCAGTCCCCCTGATTTTGAAGCTGACCTCTTTGCCCTTCACCCTTGCGTAAGCTGCAGCAAGCTCCCTGACTGAATGGATACCGGAGACTGTGTTCCAGCATCCGCCCTCCTCAGCATCGTCTCTAGAGATAATCGCAGCGGTGAACTCGGCTGCGTCCCGCTCCGTAGTCCACGGCATTGGCTTATTTCCATCGCCCCAGAAACTCATGGACTTCTCTCTACCGTCCCAGTAGCCGTTTAGCTCAACAGCACCAAGAGGGTGATCCGGGAACACCAAAAACACCTCAGCCAAGACGCCTGTGAAGATTTATATCAGCCTGATAAGCGAGCTGATCTCAGCAATCCGACGGAAAGCAATGAAAAAGTCATAGCTCTCATGCATGCCTAATGGGTCTCGACTCCAATCATTATTCCACGTGGAGAGAACAAATCGGCGGATGTTGGCGCGCTCAGCGGCTCGGAGCAGGAGAAGCTGCCCATCGAATTGTAGCTCAGTCGGGAATACTCCATATGCACAGATGACTGCGTCGGCTCCTTTGCAGCCGTGATCGAGAGCCTCAATGTCATAGTGACTCTTGGTAACGACGAAGCCCTCCAACTTGGCGCGTCGGGCGTCTGTGAGTTTTGCGGGGTTTCGACCCAAACCACGAACTTGATGCCCTCGAGCGTGGAGGGCGTCGATCAGCCTTTGGCCGATGTTGCCAGTTGCGCCAGCGACAAGAGCAAGCATTTTCACAACAAATTTGGTTTCATTAGAAATTTTTCAATGCCGATATATGTAGAGTCGGAGTTGCAATCAGTGTCCGTTGATGGAAAGGATTTGGTTTGTCAAATCAATCAAGAATGTTGGGGGGTTCCAGTAGACCAGTCTTCCGCATCAGTGCGGGGTTTTGCCAATGAACCGAGCTCATGGCTTTATCGATGCAACTTCAGAAGAAAGTGGTGGCCATTGCATGAAAAGATGGAGAATACAGGGCCCTTTGCGTCACTTCGACATCGTGTTGGTGTTGGACACTTGATATTTGCATCACCCCCATGTTTAGCGCGGGGCGGCAGACCTTTTGCAGCATCACGTCTCGGCAAGAGAGAGGCATATGTAATACTAATACATACATATAGTCATCATTCCTAGAGCCTAGTAAGATTTTTAGGCAATCCGCAGAAAGTCAAGCGTTACTCGTATGCTTTTATAAGGGAGCGGGGTTAACATGGGTGTGAAGAGGATAACAGTGCTGTATAAATCGTCGTTGGGGCTTGCGTGATCTTCATGATCGGAATGAAGAGAAGATGGTGTTTCAAGGTATTGGCTGTGAGAGTTGCTATACCTTGTGTTACGAGCAGAAGGGCTGCAAGCGTAGTCCCCGAGGTAAACAGTACAAATTCTTGCAGGACAAAGTGAGGACACATTTGCTTGAGTGTCTGGGCAAGGCCGTCTTATGATGTCAATAAGTGTTGACTTCCATCATACTTTCAGCACCTCAAGAAATGTCCGAACAATAACTAATACTCATGTCCGAGAACGGAACATTCTCCTAGATTTCACAAGTTGTCACATGGAGAAAGTCTGCGGCAACCCTCTATTCAACAGATCCAAGATCAAGTAGTCACAGAAGAGCTGGCATGGGAAAATCTGGAACCCTTGAGCAACTATAAAGCGCGGGAAAGTTCAATTCTTGGATTAGCCACGTCCTTTCCAAGTAAAGTAGGACATGATGATTCGGCCACTTCACTTGAGTCCCAATAATACACTTAACACGCCAAGATGCATTTGGAAGACTTGAGCCAGTGACCTTTGCGGAAAAAGGTGAATTGAAACACCATCGACCCATTTTCTTCCCTTTGTACCGTCTCTTCAACCTCGCTGCATTCTAGTCTTTCGCACAGGAGGACTTGAGGTTTCACTTCTGAAAATGTGACTCTGCTCAAGGCATATCAGGCAGCACCATGTGAGGCGGTTTCAATAACACTTACCTTGGCAGACTGTTTAGATTACGGCTATTAGTTCTTGGCTATGTGGTGTCACTCAGGAGATAGAGTGTCACCCGCAGGCTTCCAACTTTCCGACACTGCAAGGGAGCGAAAAGGAGAACTTCTCCCAATGTAGGATGCCACCTAGACCTTGCATGGAAGGGCAGTTTGTCTAGAAACAACAATAAGACAGACGCGCTATATTTTATGATTATGCAGCTCTGACACAATCAATTTAGTGCCAGTGGCGATTGCAACATTCAAGCAAAGAATGACAACATCAAGGCCGAATGATTGATATGATGGAACATTAGTGCTATGCATATTTCAAGTCTAATTCATGCAGCCTACTATGTACATCAGTCAAATTTAGATGAAGAACAAATATCGAAGAAAACCTCCCTGCCCACGGATGTCGCCGCGGATGATCACTTCCCGTCCCAGTATATTGGCGAATAGGAAAGCCACGTGTGAAATCTTGAGCAACCGAGCCAAGGCTAACGTTTCTTTTTCCAAAGGAAATGAAGGGGATGGATCCTCCAAGCCCTACAAACCGGACCTGATCCAAGCTTATCTTTCCGATACCCTAGTTCCATGTCACAAATTCACGGTTGAAAAGTCGAGTGGCGGCGGGGACTGTTGAGTCAAAATGTCTCTTGATCATTTACGAGGAATAAGCAACTCCGAGGCCGCCAATACGGGCGAAAACAGAGTTTTTCGGTAACTGCAGGTCTATGAAGGGTATTTCGTTTTCTCGTGTATGTACAAGGGTGTGCCAAACATCTCCCGGATCACCCAATCAGTCTCCCCAATTTATTGGGCATGGCAAACAGAACTTAGGCAAGCTTTTCGATCTCAGCATCGTGGGGAACCAAGCTGAGATGCTGGAGGTCACCACGAGCCTCTTTCTTGACCCACGCGGCGTTGCGTCTCTTGAACATCATCTTGGGCAAGGCCTGGTTGAGGCAGACGTCGACCTTCATGCAGGTACCACCGGAGCAGCAGCTCTGCTTGATGCAGACCTCGCCATTGCTGCAGTCGTTGGTGGTGTCGCACGAAGGGCTGCAGTCGTTGGGCTGGGCGCAGACCCTGCGGCCCTCGACAGTCTGGAAACAGACGCAGCCGGTCTCGCTGGAGCAGACAGGAATGACGCGGTCGCCGCAGTTCCAGGTGTTGCTGCACTCGAGAGCCGGGCGGGTGACGTTGACGAAGGGGGCGAGGGTGGTGGTGGAGACGAAGGTGACGGTCGAAGTGACGATCGGGGTCGGCGCGGTGGTGGTGACCGCGGTGGCGCCGAAGCAGGAGCAGGCGGAGCTGTAGCGGCTCTCATCGACGCATGCGGAGGCGTAGGCCGGGATGGCCTTGGTGGCGGAGATGGGGGTCTCGGCAGCCTGACGCTGGTAGATGGTCTTGGTGGAGTTGGCTGTGATGGTCTGGATGCTGCTCTCAGTGATGTAGACGGTGCTGTGGCAGATTTGTGAGCCTTTTTGTTTGGGGTGATAACAGTTGAAGAAACTTACGAGGTGGCCGGAATCTGGGTCACGGCAAGGAACGAGCTGCATTCTGCCATGCGAACCTCCATGGTCGCAGTTCCGAAGCGAGTTGCCCGCACGGCACGAAGGCAGTTGTCGGCGTTGCAGCCATTTTGACGACCGGCAAGGTTGGCAACCTCGGGCAGGGCCGCAGCCGCGGCGGCGAAAGCAGCAACAATGTAGCACTTCATCTTGGGAAGAGTGAGTGAGTGTAGCGTTGTAGTGACTGTGATACTCGAGGTCGAAAACGACAAGAGACCTAGGAGCAAATGAAAGAATGAAGAATGAAGATGTTACTCTGTGTGCCTTGTCATGTCTCCGTTCCTCAAAAAGACGGACGCCAACACATCTATCTTATATCTCTCCAATTGTCCCTGGCTCAAGCTCCCTCGTCGCGTGGTATGTCAACCTCATGGAAGATAGGACACGCTATGCAAGGGAAAGACGGGTCTAGTAGCGCCTCGGCAACCATCGAGAAAAGCAAACGGCTCTTAAACCTCGACGTCTTAGGGTTGATAACATGCATGTCGCCGTCATTAGTCCCGCGTCCAAACAAGCTTAGATGGTTTAGGAGCAAACGAGACATTGGAAAAAGCATCTGAGTACCCCCTTTCATTAAGGTAGTGGGATAAGAAAAAGTGGGAATTCATCTGGCCCTCCTCCGGAGCTTGGGACGGCACGCTGCACAACTGACGGGCAGGAACTCGATTCCGAGCCGGAATGGGCGCCAGGCGTTATGTTTGCCATAGTGAATGGTCCGAGGGCGTGGAAACTTGCAGCTAGGTAACTTACATGAGAGCCTCACCGCTGAGCTCCTGAGCCCCTCAACGGTCACCCCTGGCTTGCCTGGCTCGTTCCCGAAGTAGTGCTGTTAAGTGAATGTTTGGAGGCTCATGTTTGCCAAGGACCTGCAGTAGCGCGGCGCATCGATGTCAACGGCGCCGTCGAAAGCCCACCGAAGCCTCCCGCTAACGCCCAATTTGGGCCTTTTCCACAGTTCGCGGCTTTCAGGTATACTTGGCCGTGCGTTTTATGTTGAAGAGGAATCACCAAAGTGTCTGTGGGCGATAAGCTCACCTCAATCATGTTCCCGCGCAACCATGGACGAGAACTTTCTTTGTCCACCGCTGTCTAGGGATTAAGCTACCTAAGCCTCAAATTCTGGGTTATGCAGCTTTGAGTATAGTCTGTCGGTTTGCATTTGACTTATGCCCCTTCTCCCTAGTGTCTCTAGATCAGTTGATTGACGTCACTCACAAAGACCCGATGTTTCTTGACAGACAGAAACATTGTTTCCGACTTCGATCGAATTCTCTTAGCTTCCCTGTCGGCCGCAAGGATTACTTCGCATCGCGGGCTTACCTGCGACTCGGTGGCTTGGCACTCACGGCACTCTGCCTGCCCCAGTATTATGGATATTCTAGGAATCATTAAGCTCGCGGATCTCAAGAGCTCTCAACACTAATGTACCCCTGCCAGGACGTGGCCAATACGCAAGTACCGATACGATCGGCAAAGAAACCCCTGCTTACCTTAATTCATGAACAACATCAACCTGCGAAAACCAAACTGGAATGCAACCCTTCAATACTACACCTCAAATTAGACAAACACGGCAAAGGCCGCTCATGACGCGGGAACAGACGTTCGTATCGACCGCGACTCCGGCAACGCGACAGCACGGTCCAGAACAACCAGGACAATGCAAGCTGGAGGCCCCCAACCTCTCCTGCTTAGCGCGACTGTGGCCGATCTATATCTGAGCGAAGCCTACCGACATGGCGAGAGACGGTGACCATGAGCCGTTGTGGCTGCCCTTAGTGTCGTCGACTAGTACCTCGAAAGGTTAATCACGAAGATTTTCCTTGGCATTTGGAAGCAAAGCAGTGAAGTTGAGAGTTCCGTGTACCATGCGGCGGTGCGCTCGCTCAGCGTCGGTTAGAAGCCCTTGGGTCGCGGCTGGGAATGATGGCATTGATGCAAACTTCCATTGTTATGTGGTAGAGGTCAGAGTCGTCTTGGCAACCGAAAGTTATCGTAATGCTGGAGGATCAGGATCGTGGTCTGTAACGAAACCGGAACACTTGGATAAGTAGGTGCATCGTGTTACTTGCAATCAATATGGAGAGGGCAAATTTTATTTGGTTATGGGTATTGTTCCTACAGGCAAAGGATGAAATTCCAATTGCATGTACGATATCAATTTACCCACTCGAGGCTAAGGATCAATCAACGTATGAAGTTTCGCATTGAAATATCTCTAACTCAATCCTAGATCAGCCACGTGCAGACCCAAGCTGTTTTCTGTGCTTGAACCAGCCAAAAACTGAGAGGTATTCCGGGAGGAAAACACTTTCGCATGAGCCCTGGCAGGTGAGAAGAGCCACGGTAGCTCAGCAGGAATTTTTCGCACTTCGAAAATCAGGCCATGAGAAGAATGTGACTTGGCGGCATCGATCCACGCCGCCTTTGTCGCTTCCTCAATCTCGAAGTCCCATGTACTTTCCCATGTGAATCTTGGGGTCCCATCTTTCTCAATGGAGTAACGGAAACAGCCCGCCGAGATAATGTATTGCTCCCGGGCGTTCCAGAGTTCCATCACTCTCAACTTTGGCATCCGTCGGGCAGCTTTAGCGGCTGACAACAGGAGCTTGTTTGTCATCTCGGGTGCCTTGTCCCAGATAGAATGAGACGTCAGGCTGATGAGCTGTAGTTCAGGCCAATCAGGGCCAGTGACGCTGTCCTGCGGGGATAAGCGATCGTTCTCGGGCTGGTCCATCATGTGAGAAAAGAAGTCAGTCGCGTCGATGGCGAACGAGACGCATAGGCTCTTCAACTTGCGGCTCTGTTGAAATAGTTGCTCAGGAATGCCCTGATGCGTGCGAATATATTCGATCCAATCCTGTTGCGTGTTCAAGTTGCTCTGGTCGCAAGATTCTCGGATAGTGAGCGACTTTACTTCCACCGGAGTAATTTGCCAATCCGTGACCAGGCAGAGCTTGTGCTTATATCCAGGCCGGCAACCGATTTCGTAGTTGTACTCCAATGTTTCCAGACCAGGCGCAAGCCCAGTCAAAATAAGGTCGGCAAGCTCGGGCCCAGTACTGCGGGAAATGTAAGATTGTGGTTTCACGATGCGGAGCGACCGCACGCAACCGATTGACCACTTTTGCTGCTGCAAGAGCTCTCCCCCGTACGTGAGCAGTGGGGGCCCGCAGGGCCGAACTTCGAAAATTTCGAGGCTGATGTTGGCATCTCCCGCCTTCCAGGTCTGCAACAAGTCGAACAAGGAGATCACAACCTCTGCAAACGCCCTTCTATAGCCTTTGGACGTCTTGGTGGCATCATAGTCGATGTTGACACGGAGTCGCTTGAGAAGTTTCTGGCGTGGTTTGCTAAGAATATCGCGGGCTTGAAGAACCTTTCGTCGGCTAGGGCTGGACTTTTGAGAATGGAGGGAGATGTATATCTCTTTAAAGACAAAGGGTTCGATGATTTTCTGCCATTCGGAAGAGATGGAAGCGTACGGGGCTAATGGATGGTTCTCTTCGCTGCCGCATTTGAGGAGATGGCCCCAAATCTGGTTCTTAAGCTCATTAGGTAGATCATGCCACCAAGCCATTGTATCAGAAGACCTTTGTGGGCGATAAAACCGGTGCTACATGTATCAGTTAGAGCCGCTGCCGAATCTGGAGATGCGTAAAGAAAGAGGGGATGGCCATCATGGGAAGTGGGTGACAAACGATAGGCTTCGGGCTGTTCCAACATGGCCACTTGGCCACCGAGGGTCAAAGCTCAACCACTCTTTTGTACCCATGTACCGACAAAGTGATTGAGTAATCAATATCCCTAAATAAGAAATCTCTTGATACTCGACTGTTACGGTAAGGCAGACTTGAATACATACACTTTCTTTGTGTCGTGATGATGAAAATGATATCCTGATGCCGAAGTGGAGTCTATTGGTGAACGGCTGTTCCAAAAATAAGGCAAAGCTTGACCCAGGTAATTGGGGAGGCCACATGCAGTTATTCCCATTAAGCTCATGTATGTATGTAATCCGAACAGTTGTTTGAGCCTTTTCACGAAACGATGTCGCGATGAACTTGTCATCCAGCTCACATCCCATAGACACTCGATGAAAAACACCCAATCCCAGGGAAGTAAGATCTGGATACATGCAGATTCCCTGCTGGTCTTTGACGCGATTTCTCGCATGCGCATACCTATCAGCGTGCTTGAGGAGCCAACCAAAGTCACAATTCACTTCGGTCTCTGGCTCCCTCATTGCTCATGGCTGGGTACTACCCAGCTTCTGTCTACACTGCGCATGGTCAAAGTTAACGGCTAGGTATGGGTGCTGGCTGCATCAAGGGCACTGTTCAGCCATGGTCACCAAAGCTCTAGATTACCAAACATGCGGTCGCTGTCCAGTAGAGCGTTGATGAAAGCTACATGTGTCACGCAGGACCAGCTCATCCATGATGTTGCGACGTCAAATGGGCATCACCAGCACCAATTTTGATTCATATCAACTTCTATGGGAAGCTCGAAAGAGCACAGGAAGTGAGTTGGCTTTCAGAATTCATGCGAGCGCACCTCTCATCCCCGACTGTGATTACTTCGCGTATTCGCAACACTTTTCTCGGTCATTATATTCAGACTCGAATACCAACTCGAGGTCCATCTCTTAACTTTATTTTAACCCTGTTAGTAAGCCTCAGCCCGGACGACACTTGGATCATATCTATCATCAAGAAGTCCAACTCATGAAACGCGTTCTGGAAAAGATAGTATCCACCATCATACATCATGGCTGGTGAGGAAAGTCCGAGAACATGGTCCGTCGAAGAAGTTGAGGCCAAGAATATTTGGACGACTTGATAAAACTTCTCCGTAATCCAAATGCAAGTGTCAACAAAACAGTTGACACCGGGTGCATCAATGAAACTGCAAATCATATTCCTGTCCAATTCCAGAAGGGAGAATCTGTCACGAAAGCCATGGACTATTGTAACGATTTCCTCAACGAGGGGCGGCCAGGTAGCTTGTTCATCTACGATAATTCTCTCCGTCTACAAGCTCCCAGAGATTCGCAAAATTCCGATGAGACACATCGCATCTGGACCCTACGCAAGGGCCTCAGAGTGACCCCATTGTCAGTGGTCTGCAGTACTCCGATGAGAAACCTCCGATCCTCTCAAGAGAGACAACACATAGAGCATGGAAACATCATCAGCTTAGTTTTCTGCTGTGGTCGAGAACCAGATCAATACGGCGTCAGAACAGGCCTGCTCATGATACGCTCTCTCTTGGCCCAGGTCTTTGACTACATCCGCGCGTTCATACTCGAATATAAAGATGTAATATCGGTTGGACACGAATTCTACGAGGAAATCGAGACAGAGGATCTCGATCAACTATGTGGAATGCTCGACATAGTGATCCGAATTCTCCCTCCGGTGAAGGATCATTAGTAGCCAGAGCGAAGAATTGTTTGTTTCATTGGTGGTGTGGGTTCTCGTAAGGATGTGGAGGATTCCTTCGGAGTGAGCAAGGTCATATAGACCTTAATGAAGATGGTCCGTCTTAGTGATACTGGTAATGACTACGTACCGACATTTCAACTGATCTGTACGAGTCCTCGACTAAGCGACTGGGATGAGGCACTCTTCCCAAATGAGGGTCTGTGCCATCTTGTCGATTTAACACTAGCACTGCTGCCATCTGCACCGTTACTCTGAGGAGGTTTTTAAGCGTCCTGGAGGGCACCAAAATTTAGGCTTAAGATCGAGTTCGGCAGGCGTAACGGTTTTCGTCCATTGAAATACTGCCTTATATATCCTAAATTCTAAGACTCGAACACATCATGTTTCATCGACCACAGAATCGCACCAATTGAAACATTCATGATTTGGTACAGAAACTTCCCAGGGAGGTGTGCTATATAAAAAAGAGAAAAGGCAATTGTTGTTCTTTACAGTATCTTTTTCTTTTTCTTTAAGAAAAAAGAAAGAAATGACAGAAAATCGAGTTTTGAGAGCCGGCCGCAATCCGGCCTGGAACATGCCGGTACTTGACATTCCACCATCGACAGCATCATCAATTCGTTGCTCACTTTGACAGCGAATGTAGATTAAGATGCTCTATCCATGTGCTGATTTTGTGACATCTGCTAAAAGGATTGAAAAAGCGTACTTAAATGATTCAATTTAAACCGATCTCGATTTTGTCAGAGAATAAAAAAGAAATATTGAAAAGCAAGAATAAATAACAAGCCTTCGCCCAGGCAATTCTTGCTCCGTTGAATATCATTCTTGGTACCTACACCAATGTGCACTTAGTTGTAAGTGCATCTGTCTCAAGCCAATATCTCTGTTGCTAAGGCGCTGTGCCCTCCATGCTGCCAACAGCTCGATTGCTTGATTGCAACCTCTAGCGTTATTAAAAAATAGTGGTCAGAAGTGGGCGATGACAGCACGAGACCGCTTGCCCACAGGCGAGTAGTAAGGTAGTCGATGTAGTAATTAAATAATTGCTAGACAGAGAGGGGTGAGATGGTAGGTATCACAAGCTCCAGACAGCTCAAACACAGCCACTTCGCCACAGTTACACGTTCAAAGCTCAGCCACTCATTGGCACTCACGCATTCATACTTACATGGTGGTTTGGTAATTCACCCCTCTGAATGAGAAAGTTGCGGATGCTGAACTATTGCGGAAACGCAGATTTGAACCCCCACCCCCACATTTGGTTTGATCATGAAGTTGAGCACCCAAACATACGGTGCGGTCTGTTTGTGGTAGGCTGTTCAAACTACAAAGAGAATGCGATTTTGGTGGTTGGTGGTTGTTGGTTGGGGAGCTACATGCAATCTCTCTGGTCCCGTCAATCCAACTACATGTATCATAGATATACTGAAACAAACATCCGCCGATCCACCTTTTTAAGAGAACAGGCAAAAGTCCCATGAAAGTTTATTTTCAACTCACCGCCGACAAGCATTGTAGAAAACAAGAACAGACAAAAGAACAGACGTCATGAGGCCTTATCTTCTCCTTACCGCCGCCAAGCACTCCATGCTAAGAAACGCTACCTAATGACAAAGGTGGTATTGCAGCTTGGATACTTTCATACCCAATCTTTGTTCATGAGGCCCCATTTGGCCTGCAGCGCAGCAAGCGAGATTATTTTCTTCTAACCTTCAGGCTTCAAACCCATGGGGAACTTCGGCTCAGGATTTTACTTCACATGGCCAAAACTGACATTCCAAAATACAACGACCTTGTTCGGTCTATAACTTGGATTTCAAAGACTTTGCCATCATCCCATTGAAAAACTCTGACGAAGAGCGTCACACAGGAAATAGTTCATCCTGGTCACGATCTATATCACCGCCGTGTATCACAAACTACTTTGAATGGCATGAAGTAACACGTCACTACCTTATCTCAGAATTGGAACCATCACCTTCAAAGTACACATACCTTGGCTTTGGTACAAAGAAGACATTCAAACTCTGAAGCTATACATAAGACAAATCTACACCACTTCGGAAGACAAGTCTGCCTTGTGAGGCTTGAATTTGTGAAAATTGTGAATCCTTGCGGCGGTTCTAGCCCTCAATCTCTAGTCGACACTTTCCAACATTCACTGCATGTTAATCACGCAAACTCTCTTTCCTGGATACCTTGCTACACGACAGCAGCTAGCGTGCCACAATTTCAGCTACCAATATTAGATCCATTGGCATTCTCAACATTCTCCTTGAAGTTGGTACCGGCGCCTACACCTTGAATCATGTTGTTAAGCTAACCGAACTCAGGAGAACGTCAGAAAAGTTGCTCCTCATGTCCCCCGAATCGAAATACTTCGAATCATTACAAACCTTTCTCGCCACTGATTTTGGTGACACTCAGACATTCTACACTGCCTTGAAGGAATGACACAACCAAAACGACATATTCGTTAAGCTCGGTTTGGGCGGTTACGAAGATGACCAAGGCTATGAGGCAGGTCGAAGACTAGTCGAGAGTATCTTCGAGAAATGTAAAGATGAAGGATGGCTTGTCGGGGACTCGGGGGCCAACCGCTTTCTATATGATGGCTCGATCGAACTTGGATTAATGAGCGCTTCCCGAGCCCAACCATCTAGCCTCATATTGAACCTCTTGTATGGAACCCATACGGATGGCCTATATTTGAACATCTTAATGGACGACTACGCTCTGACACTGTTGTCAGTATTCTGCGCTGAGTTGGCCAAAGAAGTTCGAAGACAGGGTAATGTCTGCCTTTTCTTCTTCTGTGGCCTAGCAAACAAGGACAAAGACAGAACCCTCAGGGGAAGCACTGTAATTCGGGCCCTCATCTACCAGATATTTCAGCAAAATATGCAATACTTCACCGCAAGCGAGGTGGAGTCAATGTTTGGTGACTTCGAGCGAATAATCGAATCCCAAAATCTTCGAATCACGGATTTATGTGGGATATTCTCGGGGTTACTCAGACTGGCAGAACCCCGACTCAGCCAGCACAACAAAAAAAATGATCTGCATCATCGACGGTCTCGGTGCCCGTGATAATCAAAGGTACAGGGATATGATGGAGGCTGTGCAGGCC